ATAGCTCTATAGATAAACTGATATTGCTTTTCGATAGCACTATCGATTTATCTATAGAGCTATCGGAATGCCGATATGACTCTGATTTTTATCCTATAGGTATCCGATTCCTGCCAAATTTCAACTAATATCGGTTTAATATCAGGACCGAAAACATACCGATATGACACTGATATTTCTTATTTCAACCTGTGTTTGTAACTAATCTTTAATCCTAATAACAATAATTACAGTCAATACTGTCTATTGTTACATAAAAAATTTGATTTTTAATTATTAACACAAAAAGTGGTTCTTATAACCAAATGCATATACTACCTATATGCATAAAAAACTCTAACAGACGGCATGCAATTAGACAGTATTGATTATATAATTACTTTGTCATTTTTTATTTTTACTTGACTCTTTCAGGCGTACATCTTTTTATTAAAACTTCTTTAATTTTGTAATGTTTTATACATTCGAATGGATTGTTTAAGTCGAAAGTACTATGATTATTTTTATCATTAATATGATGTTTGTCATCATCTGAAGAAGTTAGCGTTTGGATTTGTTCATGAGATGATAAATCTGGCATTTTTTTTAATGGTGATGGTGGAATAATTACATAACATAATACTAATGACTATACATTTTTGTAAAATTTGGTTCAAGTATTCATATAAATAATGAGGATTAGTATTGTAAACATAAAAACAATAAGAATAAACAATGTATAAATACCTTTTTAACTTGTACACAAACTCTGCTCAAATTTGACATTAATTGCCAAGATGTCGTAACGTTATGACGGAAGTGATTATTATTCGTATTACTAGTGGCAGAAAGATAGTATGGAAGTACTATCACGCAATATCTAGCAATCCCCAAAAAAAGAGACTTGGTCATTGAATTGGTTTGTGTAGCCGAGAATAATGAACATGGTATTTGGATACAAACTCTGCATGTTTGAATACGGGTCCTTTTTCGTATAACACTGTTCATATGTTTGAATTGTTAGTAAAGATACATGTTACTTAGAGCCGAAGGATTTCAGTAATATACATACCGTAATCACATCCAAATTTCATACCACCTCTGACGACCCATCCCAAACTACGAAAATAATGATATACAACATATCGAACAATGAATGGATTATCTAATTGAATTAGTGGCGAATCCTGAGGAGAGTTAGGTGTGCTAATAGATGGAAAAGATGATATAGATACGGTGGATGTACGAAACGCGTTCCAACAATCTCGGATAGTCATCAAATTCTGATTTATATTTATAAATGAGAAATGTTATGAATAAGATTTGTATAATGTAAAGTTAATTAAACACATACATCATTAGTGTCATATATTTCCAAGCAACCGAGCCCAAAACTTAAGAAAAACGCTTCTTCTGTTGTAAGTTGTAAATTTTCTTGAATAAATGCAGCCCGATTTTGAATAATATCATCTTCATCTTTATTATCGTTATAATTTTCATCAGCATCAATTTTAAGATTATCATCACCCTCCTTATTATCATTGTAATCAATCTTTATGGTTTGCTCTATTAAAGTCATTGGAGAAGTTATGTCAGGTTGTCCTGGTGCATCAATCAGATAGGTTGGTTCGGTTTCATTTTTATCATCATTACTATCTTCATTGTTGGTAATAGACGTAGATACGTTCTTTTTGTTCTTTTTTCTTTTCGCTCTTGCTATTCTACGGTTCTGTGTAATTTGTTCGGCCGATAAAGGCTGGTCCCCTGTAACCATTATCAATTGAACTAATTCGCACATTAAAAAATCAATACGTTTACCATTCTCTATTTTTACCTTTATTTCCATCTCTCCATTCGTAAGTAGGCTCGCTTCTTGATAAATTTCCTTTTCCAAAAAAACCTTGCTTCCATAACTTTTGTATATCTTGCTTTTCTGAGACTATCACTGAATTGGAAGTAGAATTAAAACTTCCTCGCGCTTTTACGCATGATTTTTGTATATTACTAGTGTAATTATAAGTTAAAAGTGGAAAACGATTGGTTAAAGCAGTTATAATTGTATTTGTGAAGGATCTAGTGTTGGATATAGAAATCGGAAGTGGTATGATGCATGATTCCCGGGATCCTGACTTATTCTTTTCTCTCGTGAAAGATTGTAAAGACATTTTTAAAGATCCATACGTACACTCCCCTGACAAAGGTCACCGGAATTTCAAAACAGGTGGAAATGTACCTAAAAATAGAAACATGTTACACAATTTAGTAAAGCCATAATTTATACGTTTTAAAGTACTTTTTCACGAGGCTCGTGTAGCCCATCTTCCCTATGAAAGGTAGACTAGAATTTTATGAAAACGAAGTTCTTGCTTTAGCGCATAAGAATATCCCTCTTAATCCCACAACTTATATTAGTGTTAAATATGTCTGAAAGTAAGCATTGCACAAACTGCCCGGCCACACAATCTCCTAAATTCCGTTCGTTGACTGAAGACAAATTGAAAGAGCTCGTGGCTAACGGTCTAGGAAAGACAACGTGGAAGAAAAGCACTGTTTTATGCAATAAATGTTATATGGATCATGTTGAAAATCCACTAAGAAAACTAAAAAAAAAAAGCAAGCAAGTGAAAAATATAGATGAAAAGGCAGGTACGTTTAATGAAAAAATCAAGCTCCCTGAAGCCATTAGGATGATGGCAAAAATTCTTTATGAAAGAGAGTATGTGAAAAAGGAAAATACAATTTATACATTTGAAGAATTGTGAGAACTATTAGAAAAAGATGAACCTAATCTTAAGTATTTTTTTGAGCAACTTTATTTAGCAGCTAGGCCATCTACACGCACTGAACAAACAATGGATTGTATGAAGAGAATAATGGTGTTCATTTGTTATTTACTTGCTTCTTTGAACAATACTAAAATTAATTTTTTTAAGTTTGATCTTTCATATTATTTAGATTCAGCAGGTGTAACTAAAGAAGGCTTGAATATGATGGCGAATCTTGGTGTGACTACAACGTTACAAGCAGTAGATTCACAGAAGAAAAAGATATCAGATGCACATGAAAAATATGTGGAGAATGTGTTTTTTCAGCAATTAGGAAATGCACTTGTGCTAAATGTTGATGACTATCATAATATTCACGTTCTACAACAGCCTAACACTATAGCTACTTCTAAGCCAGTGCATATGGCAATGATTTTGATGAACCCATACTTAATACCACCGATACCATGTAATGGAATCATTAATCCAAAGTTCATAGATAGTAACTTAATTATGAAACATTTTGATGAACAATTTATCGTAAATCTTGGTGTTTCATATTATGACCGTATGCAAGACAGAGAACAAGCATGTACTGATGAAACAATATTAGATCGACTAACAGTACATAGCTATAATGATAGGCTTGCAGAGAAAAATAATGATCGACATATACGCAACTCTGTTCTTGTTGACTTCGTGAAAAAAGAACTAAAGAATGTAGAGGAATATGTTGATGCTTTTCGAATTGTATCTGAACAAGAGTCAATGCAAATGTATCTTTTGAATTATGCAGTTCCCATTGTTGCAGATTGGCCTGGACAATTTTTCATCTGTAAAGCAATTGCATAACGGCTTCTTCTTAACAATGAATGCATTCCTCAGTTCGTTATGTCATTCTTGCCTATGATGGGGCCCCTTCATGTGTCCTTAAATGCCTGTGAACTTGTCTATTTAATAAATTCAGATTTATTTAGTGATATTTATAAGGGATTATTTGGGGTGAAAAAGAAAATTAGTCAGAAGCCACATCCATGGAAAATTAATTTAATTCTCCATATTGTACGCTTGGCATGGTCCAATATCGTCGATACAGTTTACTCAAAATTTAATTGTACATGTAAAAACATTGAATTTTTATACCTTACTGATTTATTTAGCAATTTAGTTTCTTTAGTTCTTGATGTCTATGCTGTACATCATCGAAGTGGAGATTGGGTGTTGTATGAGAAAGCATGTATGCGTTATTGGAGTGACCTTTTTCTACAATTCAATCGAAGAAATTATAAATGTGCCTCTTTAATGTTTTTTTCAGATGTTTTTTATTGGATAGAAACTGGTCATCCAATAATGAATATAATTATTAACTATTTAGCTTCTCTTAGCGATAGTCCAGTTGAGATTGCTTATAGCATTATTCGAAGAAATACTGTTAAGTTTCTTACAGCTGAGCAATTATGAAAAGAGGCGCACTTCATTTTCTAGCAATGACATAACAATTCTTTTCAACAAAATTTCGTATCCTCCGTAAAGTATCCATATACACCAAAGCAGTTAGACATGCTTTCGCAAAAATGTTCCATATGGCTTTTAGAAAGATTTGCGAAAGTATATCGAAATCGTAATAAACACCCTATCATTAAATCTACAAGTGATGATAGTATTAATACATACGAACTACCTTCGTTGGGTTATGAAATAATGGATCGTCACCTTCCAAGAGGTTTTGTTACCTCTAAAAAACTCAATATATTCTTTTTATATGATTTATCGCATTGTGATAGGATCTCCGATTTGCACAATGGCAATGTTTTGGCATATGGGCATGGTTATCATAATCATTGCTTACGAAAATCACATTTTAAATGTTTTATTTGCTTAGGTTATCTTCAAGACGAAATCAAGAAAAATGTCGATGCACTGGTAGTAGGTATGACTAATAAAGTAATTGATGCTGAAATACTTGATGATAGGGATAAGAATGATGATGATAATTCAGATAATATAGATGAAATGATAGACAATAGGATTGAAGTAGAAAAGTTATTAAAATATGTAAAATTGACATTTTTGAATTTGCAATAAATAAAGCATTTATAAAATTTTTTTTTTTTGTTTTATTATTGCCTAATTATTACTTAAATATAATCGAATTATAATCAAGCTGGATTTTATATTTTATTACTATTGCTATACTATAAAATACTACAAAATTATTAGTTGGCGTTAAATATGCGAAATGTCAATCACATAGTAGTTTGTATAATATTTAATGTTTCTACCTGTTGAATTTCAATAATCATGATGATCTAACCTAATTTGATGATGATCGTAACTACGTGATGGGAGTTCCAAGCATTATAAATAGTACATATTAATATTGATTCATGTTTAGAAGTTAATTAATACTAACGATTATTCCTTGTTAAGTTTGATGAGTTAAGTATATAATTATCTCTTGTCGAGTTCGATGGGTTAGGTACATATTGATAAATTAACACTCTTGTTCCTTATTAGAAATTTGTAAAAAGCATTATTATTATGGAAATTATTGTTACACAAAGAATATTAAGCAAATCAAATTTTACACATTTTATAGAATATAACAAAACTATTTTACTAATACCTAATTAATTTTTTTTTTTTTTATTAAGGTGACCTCTTTGGTCTTTTGACTTTTATTAATCACTTGTCAGCATTATGGTTCAATGAACCATTACAGGAGAGCGTACAATTGGCTACACGTGTAACTTTTCTATATTACCTATTTAAGAAGTCTGCCCGAAGGTTCTCTACCAATTGCCGTATCTAACACTCCTGCTTGGGTGTTCTACTTTAAACCCTCTGAATCTGTAACCTGTGTTAACATCACTAGTCATCTCAGATGTACCAGATCATTATCCTCAACCTTAGGACTAATTTATCCTTGAAGTAAACCCCTCAGAGTCTTCTGTACCCATTTTTACAGCTGACCTAGGTATCGCT